CATTTCCGTGCCGTGAATATTCTCGTATGGTTGACATGCTGGTACGTTCTGGCTGAGCGCGGCGGTTTCAGCCCAGCTTGGCGGAAATGGTAAGAAGATTCCTGCGTCCCCTTCCTTCCCCCCCCCCCGTCTCTCCGCATGCCCCACATGATGGATGGACAGATCCCCCCACTGCTCGGTTTTTCCTTTCATGCACCTTATTGGACGTCCTGCAGACGGTTGCAAGCAGCCGGGTTAGTAGCTGCAGCGGAGTTACGTCTCCTTTGGGCCGGGGCAACTCGATGGGATGTGAAAACTCGGTGCATTCTCGTCTCAGCTGCAGCCCCCCCCCCCCATGCAAGCAAGCACAAAAGCGAGAGAAAAACCCGAGACATATAAATATATATATCTTGAGATATATATAGATATATATTAAAATGGAAGAGAAACAATCCGGAAGGCAGCTGAACTCACCCTTTTGTAACGTCTATGATCCATCAGAGGGCTTCGAATGAGCAAAACAATAGCAAAGAGCTATTAGCATATATTAGCATATCGGCAGCAACAGAGAACTTGGGGGGGGGGGGGGAGGGGTCTGAGAATATTCTGGCTGGCGGGAAGCGGACATTTCCGGGACCACTTTTCAAATAGGGGGATGGGGTCACCGAACATCCTGACTCCTAGGGCTGGGAAGGGGCCGTGGAGATCTTTTCACCCAACCCTTTGATCGAGGAGGAGATCCTAGGCCATTCCAGACAACTACCTGTCCAGTTTCTTTGTATCGTGGTGACCAGAACCGGACACACCGTTCCAAGCAACCCCTGTTCTTCACTGAGATGACTAGGCCACGCCTACGTACACCAACGATGCTCTTGCTAACTGCCGTGTGTCATGGGTCCATGTATATGTATTGATGTGCACGAGATAGAATAGCTCTTCTACCAACCGTAGGGGGAGGCACACCCAGGTAGTTGCAGTCCCACAAAACAGAATATTTAACAATAGCTACAGGATATATTTGAGTATATTGGTCAAAGTCCCTTAACCGATTAGCTAAGGCAGTGCTTCTCAAACCCGGCGACCTTTAAAGACGGGTGGACTTCAACTCCCAGAATTCCCTAGCCAGCCATACCTATAACATGCTGGCGGAGGAATTCTGGGAGTCTTAAAAGTTGACAAAGATGACAAGCACTGCTTGAAGGTCGACAGCCTCAGCCAAGGGGAGCAATCTTCCTACGGACTAGCTGTCAACTTGTAAAATGTTCCTATGCATGTTTTGAAGTTGCCATAAACAAGGGAGGGGAGGGGAATCCAAGGGAGGGGAGGGGAATCCAAAGGAGAAGTACGGCAGTTTAAAACCAGAAGTACATTCCCCTCTTATCTTAAAAAAATTGTAGCCTAGGCTACCGGATCTTCCGCCCGGAAAAATGCTTCATTGGAGAATCTGATTGATGACACACCCGGGGGGGGGGAGGGGGAAAAACAGGGTCGCGGGGGACTGTAAATGACGTAGGCCAGAGTTGGCTTCATTTAGGTTCATGCCGGCATGTTGCTCCTAATAAATCTTTTGGATTCTTTTGAAGCTTAAACTTGGGTCGAGGCTCATGATTTAATTAGGGCGATCTCCCGGAACCCTGACATTAGCGCCCTGTCACTTTCAAAAATACCGGTAGCTATGCGGGGCAATGTTTTTTTTATCAGAAATAAAACAAAAAAAAGTTGGTAAGGTTGGACACGCAACAAAACACCAAGGAAGACGTCGCTCAACTCAACAGCAGTGTATAATGACGGTCTTCAGTTCAGAAGATAGCCTACTGAACTACCGTCACCTAGGGCCGGTCCCACTGAGTTCAATGGGTAGGACTGATCACCACATCTGCTGCCTTATGCAATGGATGAAAGACCACTTATCTGGCCGGTGGTTCCACTGAACACCTTGAGAACTTCTGGACTCCTAGAATCCCAAGACAGCCAAGCTACTTGAGATGACTTCCCGTCCCTCAATCACCCGCCATTCAGATGGTCCTCACTGAAGGACCCCTCGCTCAGCAACCATTCAAACGTACAACGGAGTTGAACTTAATTACAACCAGTCCTTGTAGTTCTGGCTCTTGCAGCGTGGCCTCTGTGTACATGTGATTGTGATCCAGAGACATCACAACTATAACGACGAAGTGAGCCAACATCATACGATTGCAATTTCTGACATTTCCTCCTGGCTTCCCATAAGGAAAGTCAATGGGGAAGCCGGCGGGAAATCGGAAGCCACAGACATGTGAGGATAGCAATCGCGATGGCTAGAACTGCTACAGCTAACTGTTATTTATGGCATGGTCATGTGGTGGCACACTTTGGAACTGTGTCACTCAGTGACTTCCGGTCCCAATAACCACAGTAAACTACTTGTAATCTCGATTCTTCACAGGCAGAATCTGGAGTGGGTCCGGTTCAACATCTGATGGAACAACAGTGGTACCTGGGTACTCATCGTTAATTGGTTCCGGGAGCTCAACGAGCACCAAAGACAATGAGTACCAAGCAAAATTTTCCCATAAGGAAAATCACAAGGCAGCCGACACCAACAAGTTCTGACTAGCGCATTGGGTACCCCCCCAAAAAACCCAGCCGTTTTGAGTTCTTCCAACCCCAGACTAGCCTTGGCTAAGATGGTCCTTCAAAGAGAGAAGATGAAATAGATCAGAAGAGGCTGGAGGACAAGTTGTCCCTCAAGGAGGTTTGGGAGAAAGGAAAGAGACATTCTGACCGGGTCTCCGGAAGACATATTTAGTGTACCAATTGCCATGCATCTTTTTTTTTTAAAAGTAGACCAACTTATCTCATTGGTAGGACTTCATATTTCATTTAAACTATGGTGATCTGACCAACTTATCTCACTGGTAGGACTTCCTGTTCCGTTGACTCTATGGTGATTTA